CTAGCCTGCGATCTCAGAACTATGGGATCCTGCCAGTCGACCGTGCCCAGGTAATGCTGCTGCTTGGGACGCCTGCCTGGAGGTGGGGTCAAACCCTAGCCCAACGCCTTGGGTCCAGCCCAAATCTCCTGTCCTTGGCAGAGCAAGCAAATCGTGGGCCGAATTATTCCAGCCATTGCCACCACTACTGCGGCCGTGGCAGGCCTGGTGGGCCTTGAGCTGTATAAAGTGGTGGGCAGGCCACGGCCTCTGCGTGCCTTTCGCCACAGTTATCTGCACCTGGCAGAAAACCGCCTCAGCCGCTGGGTGCCTTGTTCTCCAGTCGTCCACACAGTGAGCCCTTGACGCCCAACCCCTACCCCCACTAGGGAGCTCTTCCCTGCACCTACCCAATCGAACAGGCCCCACTCTAGCTGCGGACCATCACTGGGACCCAGACTATGGGGGAGACTCCCTCCAGCCCCCTTCCTGCTGTGAAGCCAGGCTGGGACCTGTCAGACACAGGAAGCAGCCGTCAGCCATCCCTACCCCCACCCTCCACAGCCCAGGGTCTGGGGGGCTGCAGCTTTAACTCATTAGTGGAGGCAGACATCCCCCTGGGTCTGCTCCTTCCCCTGAGTACCCTAGTGGGAGGCGTGGGGAGGAGGCACCAGGGTCCCAGCCCCAGAAAGTCTAGCTTCCGCTTGCATGGATGGGGCCCTGGCCTGCCTCCTCCAAGTTGAGTGAAAGAACACCAGGCTCGCCGGGGTGTGGGTCTGCAGCCCATGTGGGTGTTCACGTCCCAGGTGAGAACGCACTGGGTTGGTGAGTGCACGGGTGTGTGGGCATGGAGGGAGCGAGCATGCACATCTGTGTGCCAGATGGAAGCAGGCTCTTCCTCAGTGTGGGCGTGCTGGATGTACACGTGCATGCACACGCGGGGGTGCCTGGGCTTGTGTTCACGTGTGTTCCTGAGTGCAGGGCCTTGTGCCCAGGGCCTGCAGTGGTCAGCGTTTCCTTAGGGCGTCAGAGGGGGGGTGGAGGGGACGCCTTCCCCAGGGGAGAGGGCAGAGGTCATGGGCCAACACTGTGCTTTGGCTGAGCTGCCCCGGGGTCCCTGAGACAGCGCACAGAGCCCCTTTGTGAGGCGCCCCACCTCTAGCCAGCGAACAGGCTGCCTTTGTCCATGGAGTGGAAGGGGAGGGGACGAGTCCTCATCTCTCCTCTCACGGAGCCTCTGCTTGACCACAGTGTGCTTTCTGGCCCTGCCGCGCCCCCCTCTCCGCCCCCATCTTGGCCTCTGGCTGCCTGCCATTCCTCAGTCCTCAGCTCTAGGCACCAGAACCCCAGGATTCTTGAAATAGGGAAGGAAAGGGGACAGGAAGAGGAAGACTACAGACCGTGTCCCTGCTGGGGTCTCTGGGGGAGTGGGGACCTGTGCCCTCTGCCCCTGTGTGCCTGAGTGGTCCCAGCCCCTGGCAGTGCAGGATCGGGCAGGATGTGCCCCCAGCTCCCTGCCTTATGTTTGAGGAATAAGCAGCTTTATCGGAGACTGCAGCGGCCCTGCTCCGCTTCCTCAGGAAGCACCACCCCCTCCTTCCATCCCCCCAACTGGCCTGTGTGATGGATGTCTGTTTCCCCGTGCGGGCCCCAGAGCCCCATTTCCTGTGCTGGCCCCAGCATGGGCAGGGAGGGGGCTGAGACTCTGGGCCCAGATCCCACCTTCCGCCCCCATCCCCTGGCTCCTGCTTCCTGCCTCTGGTCCAGTTCCTCCCCTAGGAAAGGCGGCTAGTGACTGGGATGGGGTGGGGGGCTGGGAGAAGTCTCTCACTCCTGCCCACCACTGCCGCCCAGTTCCATCACCTGCAGTGGACCTGTTGGGACCGCCTGAAGGTGCCAGCTGGGCAGCCCGAGCGGACACTGGAGTCACTGCTGGCCCACCTCCAGGTATGCCTGGCTCACCTGCCCAGCCCAGCCCAGCCTGGCCCAGCAGGCCTCTCACCTGTCTCTCCCTAGGAGCAGCAGGGGCTGAGGGTGAGGATGCTGCTGCATGGCCCGGCTCTGCTCTATTCAGCGGGGTGGTCACTGGAAAGGCAGGCCCGCCACCTGCCCCTCAGGTGAGCCCATCCCGGGTTTAGCAGGTCCTGCCCGTTCCTTGAGCTGGAGAAAGGGGACATATAACCTTCCCCTTCCCAGCCCCACTCTGGGCCCCTCGCACCTTTCCGAGAGTTCTTTCGCCAAATGGAGCCAGCAAATGGGCTGGGGGGTGGGGTGAGGGCTAAGAGCCTGAGGAGGGGCCTTCAGGAGCTGTCTGCCGGGCCAACCCCTTGGGCTCCCCACACTCTGCACAGCCCCCCTTTCACAGCCCACTCCCGGGGGACCCACAGCTTCCTGCCTCCTGCCCGCCCCGCCAGCCGCTCCTAAAATAGTTTCAGATGTTTCCTGTCTTGAGTTGCTCCTGCTCCTGGCTCGGGTTCCCGATGGCCAGCCAGCACCCTCTATCCATGCCAGGCTGCCCTCTGCCTGCCATTGCTCATCTACCCCATCC